TTTTTAAAGATTTTATTTATTTATTTGAGACAGAGACAGAGAGCACATGAGAGGGGGGAGGGTCAGAGGGAGAAGCAGGCTCCCCGCCGAGCAGGGAGCCTGATGCGGGACTCAATCCCGGGACTCCAGGATCATGACCTGAGCCGAAGGCAGTCGCTTAACCAACTGAGCCACCCAGGCGCCCTAAAATCTTTTTTTAAAAAAAAGGAATTTGAAAGGCAAAGACTGTGATGTTATATGGGAATTCTGTTTACGAAGCATTACATTGTATCACAGTCTATGAACTATGTTGTGAACATAGACACCAAGAGTTGAGGAGCAAATATATTAAGACTGGAAGAATGAATCCAGGGGATCCCCAGACTTAAGAGAAATTTCTATAACTTGGAAGACAACCAAAATTAAGAAAAAGGGTGGCATAGTATTGTCACATAATGAGACTCAATAAATACTTATTGAATGAAGTAAGGAAGAACGTTCCAGCACTGTTGTCTTATGGTATTGTTACATTGACCCCTTCTTTGGTAAATACTCGGTTTACTGTTAGGTATTTATCTCCATGGAATCATTTATTCAATTTTTTTATATTATGGAATTCAGTCTTTATAACACAAGGTTATTTAGAAAGTAGCCATAATATACCTCTATTTTAACACTACATTATGATATTATAATTGAAGTGTGTAGGAAACTGGCAAGATTATAAATTCCTTGAGGAACTGTGTATATCCATATTAACTGCTATAACTATTTAAAAATGAAAAAGTTTGCCTTTTTTCCACCCACCATTCATTTTCCTTTCTGATTCATTTTCTTACCTTCAGTTTTGTTTTGTTTTTTTTTCTTTTACATCGTAACTCCATCTACTCTGTGCTGCTTGACAAGCTAAAACACTGATCTTCAAACCCTTTTCACCATGTGTCTCTATCAGCAAAAAGATCTTTGTCATTGCTAACTTACATGTATAAAACACATATAAACAGTGAAACAGGATGAGGTAAACAACATTTTTTTCCTTGAATAGCTTTTTTTTAAATTAATTTTACTTTATTATGTTATGTTAGTCACCGTACATTACATTATTAGTTTTTGATGTAGTGTTCCATGATTCATTGTTTGTGTATAACACCCAGTGCTCCATTCAGTACCTGCCCTCCTTAATACCTATCACCGGGCTAATCTATCCCCCCACCCCCCTCCCCTCTAGAACCCTCAGTTTGTTTCTCAGAGTCCATAGTCTCTCATGGTTCGTCTCCCCCTCCGATTTCTGCCCCCCTCATTTTTCCCTTGCTACTATCTTTTTTTTTTTTTAACATATAATGTATTATTTGTTTCAGAGGTACAGGTCTGTGATTCATCAGAATTACACAGTTCACAGCGCTCACCATAGCACATACCCTCCCCAATGTCCATCACCCAGCACCCCCCATCCCTCCTACCCCCCACCACTCCAGCAACCCTCAGTTTGTTTCCTGAGATTAATCTTATGGTTTGTCTCCCTCTCTGGTTTCATCTTGTTTCATTTTTTCCTCCCTTCCCCTATGATCCTCTGTCTTGTTTTTTAAATTCCTCATATCAGTGAGATCATATGATACTTGTCTTTCTCTGATTGACTTATTTTGCTTAGCATAATACCCTCTAGTTCGATCCACGTCGTTGCAAATGGTAAGATTTCATTTTTCTTGATGGCTGCATAATATTCCATTGTATATATATATACCACATCTTCTTTATCCATTCATCTGTCAATGGACATCTGGGCTCTTTCCATAGTTTGGCTATTGTGAACATTGCTGCTATAAACACTGGGGTGCATGTACCCCTTTGGATCACTACATTTGTATCTTTGGGGTAAATACCCAGTAGTGCAATTGCTGGGTCATAGGGTAGCTCTATTTTCAACTTTTTGAGGAACCTCCATACTGTTTTCCAGAGTGGCTGCACCAGCTTACATTCCCACCAACAGTGTAGGAGGGTTCCCCTTTCTCAGCATCCCCACCAACATCTGTCATTTCCTGACTTGTTAATTTTAGTCATTCTGACTGGTGTGAGGTGGTATCTCATTGAGGTTTTGATTTGGATTTCCCTGATGCTGAGCAATGTTGGGCATTTTTTCACGTGTCTGTTGGCCATTTGGATGTCTTCTTTGCAGAAATGTCTGTTCATGTCTTCTGCCCATTTCTTGATTGGATTATTTGTTCTTTGGGTGTTGAGTTTGATAAGTTCTTTATAGATTTTAGTTACTAGCCCTTTATCTGATAAGACATTTGCAAATATCTTCTCCCATTCTGTCGTTGTTTTTTGGTTTTGTTGACTGTTTCCTTTGCTTTGCAAAGGCTTTTTATCTCGATGAAGTCCCAATAGTTCATTTTTGCCCTTGCTTCCCTTGCCTTTGGGGATGTTTCTAGGAAGAAGTTTCTGCGGCTGAGGTTGAAGAGGTTGCTGCCTGTGTTCTCCTCAAGGATTTTGATGGATTCCTGTCTCATATTTAGGTCTTTCATCCATTTTGAGTCTATTTTTGTGTTGAAGTAAACAACATTTTAAGATAATTTTTAGTAATAGTTAAAAAACTGATGTGAGTGAACAGGTTTTATAACTTTTTATAATCACAAGTTAATACTTAATGATAAAGTCATTTGAAGGTCAGCTTCAGCACTTGCTTTTAAGGACTGTCATTCTGAAATGATAGCTCACAAAGAAAAATGAATCGAAACTGAAGAAATGCCTTATTGACTGTATTTATTAAATAATAAGACTCATCCTTTAATTCCATCAGTGTTATGCAAAGGTTTCTATTAAATTGACTAGTAAAATTTTCCCTCTACTCTAATGTCAGTCAGTTGTTCTTGCTGACATTAGACGATGGAGCACTTCTACATTTTAACAAAAGATTCTCAGCCAGCTGAAACACTTTAATTGTAAGATTTTAGAACAATTAGAAACTTATTTCCAGATTTTCAAGTATATAAATTTGAAAGTTTTAGGGGCGCCTGGGTGGCTCAGTCGGTTAAGCATCTGCCTTCGGCTCAGGTCATGATCCCAGGGTCCTGGGATTGAGCCCCGCATTGGGCTCCCTGCTCAGTGGAAAGCCTGCCTCTCCCTCTCGCACTCCCCCTACTTGTGTTCCCTCTCTTGCTGTGTCTCTCTCTGTCAAATAAATAAATAAAATCTTTAAAAAAAAATAAATTTGAAAGTTTTAAAAAGTGAGCTATGTGTCATTGTCAGCAGCAAAATCATACCAAGGTGGAAATTCTTCTTATCCATTTTCAAAATGACCTGCCCATAACATAAATTTCTCTTACTCATTATTAAATATCACTTATATTTTGAAGGGACAAATTATTTATGATTAAAAAAATCAGCTAGAAGGTAGCTAAGTAGCTAGCTACTTGTCATCCCTGACAAGATTAGTGAATTTGGAATAAGTCTTTTCCTAAAAGAAAATCACTTAATTCATTAAAAATTCTCTTATGAATTTTGTATCAGGATCACAATAAACCTCTGGTTTATTATAAAAGTTATCATACGTACTCTCTAATTACAAAGAATGCTTTCACATCTTTGCGAAAGTAAAAGATATACTTTTGTGTGTAATTTGATTCTAATTTTAAATTCACATGAATTATTGCATGTCCTAGATTCTATCATTTAATCTCTCCAATATAACTCTGAAATGAAGGTAACATTTTTCTGTTTGTTTATTAGGGACAGTTCAAGGATTGATTAATATTTTATGTAAGCACAAATTAGTTCTTTCAATGACAGTACAATCCAGGGCATTGGTATAAGAAAGAACAGTTAGGAATTTATTTACTTTGAGAAGCAGCAGGGGCATATCTTATGAATGTGGGGGGGACATATCTTTTGACTTGTGAAATGGGATAACAGTCTTTTTAAACCATTCCTCGGAAGAGTTGCCCTGTTCCTGATATGTCAATTAAGGTGTAAAAATACATTCATCAACATTGCTTTAGGTCATTAACAACCTTTCCTTCTGAGGTGGGGGGCTTGGGTTTTACTACCAGATGGGCTACCAAGTTTGATTTTTATTTGTCCCTCTAACAAACATCTATTAAGCACTTAATTCTCTGCCAAGTACTGTGTGTGGTTTTGAGGGATAAAATGATGGCCCGTGTCTTAAAGAGACGCACAGGCTAATTGAGGTCACAGATGTGCAAACTGTTATAATAGAGGTGTACAAAGTACCATAGAAACGTGGGAAAGGAGCAAATTAAAGCCAGTCGAAGTTAAAAAAACTTCTCAGAGTAGGTCATGTTTAAGCCTAGAGAAGAGGACTGAGGAACTCACCAACAGAGAAAGGGGATAGAGCATTTGAAGGGTATGGTGTGCTTAGATGTTTGCATTTCATAAAGTTTTCTGCATTTGATTTTTTGGTCCCAGCCCCCGCAAATAGCATAATGCAGAGGTTCCCAAACTTGACCGGTTCACACTGCCCTTTGTGCCTCGGTATTTTCATACTCCTAAACTAAAATAAATACCTCAGAGTTCAGTTTATTAAGTAGGTAGGTTCAAACAACTTACTAAATATTTCTGTGCTAATAACTTAGTAACTGTTTGGAAAAGTAATACACGTTAAAACACTTAAACAAGGAGGCCTTTAGACTGGGGTAGCCCTTGTGCCTTGGTAACCTCTATAAACAAACCAAAACCAGAGTCCATGCACTTGAATCTAAGAAAACAAAACTCAGAAACTCTTCATATTCAACTAGATTTTCTTGATTATGAAAAAATGAAACTCAAGAACAACTATTATAACAGCCAAATAACTAAATTTTCCCAAATAAGGCAAACATTTGAGTTATAGCCAATTAAATAATTTCTTTGCTCTGCTTTAGCATCTTCTCTTTTAAAATCTTTTTCCTGGCCCCTGCCAGCAGAATGCCCCTAACCATTTTTTGGTTTTGATGCTGCCTGATTCTAATCGTTTGCTCAAATAAGCTTTGTAAAATTTAATGTCTTTTTTTATTTTTTTAAATTTTTTTTTTTAAGATTTTATTTATTTATTTCAGACAGAGAGAATGAGAGACAGAGAGCATGAGAGGGAGG